GTGGTCGTCTATGCATAAAAAATGTGGCGGCATGGCCCTACTTTTCGCCCGTTCAGCAATCTTCGGAAGCTCTCGGCTGCGCGAGAGATCCATCTAACACCGTGGGGACGCTTATTTGCGCTCCAATCCACTACTTTTCATTTGCGTTGTGAAGAAACGGTTATTTAATATGATGATTCCATTTTGATGTACTAATATTAGATATTGGAACTACCTGTGTAATTTAGAAACGTAAATAGTTTATTCCAATTTTTTAAATAGCCATAATAAGGACAGTCGTCGGTTACGTCTTTGATAAGCAAAAATATATTTTATAATTTTATTTATTATAACTAGTGACCTAGTCCCGTTAAAAGTGTAAAAGAAAAATTTAAATCATAATTCGCGTCATATAGTTATTAACTTAAGCATTAGTATCACAAATCAAAGAACTTAGTAGTAAAGTAAGTAAAACTTATAAGTAAGCGAGTCACTAAGAAATTAAGCAGTAGGCAAAAAAACTTCAGAAACGAAAACGTGAATTGAATCACACACACAGGAGCTCGCGTAAGCGTAGGTAGTTGTTGCAAATAAATCACATTCGATTTGAGATAATTTCAAATAAAAGTGATTCAAAAGATGTAATATCGGTATATAATAATTTATTTATCTGAACTTCAATATAAAATTTAGCTAATCTTGGAAAACTAACCCTGTATATAGCTTCAGCGTGGCTCTACCGCGTATAAAATATAGTATAGTACAATATACTCTTGTGCAGCGGTTGGCATTTACATGGGATTTTTTTATTATTATATTTATTTTGCCATTTTTCGATTCTCATCATCTTTTTGATCTTAAAAAAATCTCTACATTTTTCGCATAAAACAAATATAGATCACTCCTGGCATTGCTCTCTATAAGTTCGTGAAATATCATTACAATCGGTTTAGCCATTTTGAAGATTAGCCCAGACAGGCAGACAAAAGTTTACTCATGTCTTAATTGCATGTAAATAAGTAAATAGAGGTTATTTATAATAGGCAGTTATTTCGATATAATATTAGATAATGCAAAAGTTTTAAAAGATAACAAATTCTTATATATTTGTAGTTAGAGCTCTGAATCTTAAAATTTTAATTAAGGATTTTAATCAAGGACGCCAGCGGTAATCGAAGTTCGAGTTGAAATTGGCGATTTTCGCTTTGTAAAGCCTTTCGCCAAGTCTCAAATGATCATAATTTCATTACTACTTATAGAGTTTACTCGACCATAGTTGAGAAGATTCTTCTATAAAAAAGAACCAAATTAAAGATTTTACGACTAGCTTCATAAAAAGGTTTACTCTGTTTTAAATCTCTTTAGTCATAAAACTTAACTTTATATTCTTTTTTATTGGAATCAATTTAGCCAATAATTTTAATTCGGGTATATTTTAAAATGGTTTCGTTATTTGAAAGATTCGAGGATGTTTACTAAATCATACCGTTTACATACGAAAACGATACATAATTCTTGCAGATATTAAAACTTGAAACAATTGTTAATTTATTATAAAGGACTGTTACTAATACTACATTATATGTGAGAGAGATCCTTATTTATAAATACTTTTAAGGATACAATTATGAAGCATATTGTTTTTAATGGCATTGTAGTTTTCTTAAAAATTATCTGCATGTATTTTACAACTAGCTGTTCCCCGCGACTTCGCCCGCGTGTAATTTAAGGTTTTTTTTTCTGCGCGAAACCCTAATTCTTTTTCTAAAATTAAAGTAGCCTAAGTTACTCCTTATAACGTCAGCTATCGGCCAGTGAAAGTCCTGTCAAAATCGGTCCAGCTATTTCGGAGATTAGCCGAAACAGACAGACAGACAAAAATTTTAAAAATTGTGTTTTTTTATAAGTGTAATATATACTTTCATATGCATTAAGTAAAAACTGTTATTTTGACATTACAAACAGACACTTCAATTTCATTTATTTGTATAGATAAATTTCTGAGGAAATACTTCTGAAAATGAATCTATCTGCTTTAATCCTAATTTGCTTATTAATTTAATGGGATACCAGGAAATTAGGCAGCAACTTTGGAACAAATGAGCTTATAGTAATTTAACTACGTAATAACAGTAATAATCAATAATATAATCAATTTGATTTGACAGTTCGTGACATTTTCGATTTGTCCCAAATTATATAGAAGTTTCACTCAGAAATAATTTGAGAAAATTATGTAAAAAAATCGGGAACTGTAATTTTATTTTTTTGAAATTAATTTTTTTAAGAATAGAAACACTATTAATATTTTCTGCTATGAAAAAAAATAGAGCATAAAATAACCTCTTAACTAGGCGGATCGTTATCATAGTACCGAACATTTTGAAATTAGGGTGATGCTTTACACTTGCGCACACTTGCGCAGTTTCTGGTACGGGTATATTGTATGTAAAATAAGTTTCAACTGTTGCTAGCTCTCTTACCCTTCAAACATTCATGCACAACATTGGATGCACTGGTGCTTACGGCAGGAATAGGTAAAAGGATACTTTTAACCCAAACGGGCACCAAGGCAGAAAAGGAAACCTGCCACCTTGTTAACTCATATAATTAACTTACTTGGTGTAATTCATGGCGATGGATGCTCTGTAAAACCAGAACACTAATGAAATTATAATTATCTTTTAGTCTCTGATATCAATCAATTAAAAATTTTACTGGTATTGACCGGTAAGATATAGTAATATTACAGCCTAAGAAGAACCTACAGTCAGTCATCGTGTTTGATGTTGTCAGAACGGGAAGTACGAGGGCGACACTGAATGTTTTTAGAACTGGTCACATGTAAACGATATAATAAAAAAATAAGTTCAAATATTTGAAAATGGAACTTTTTCCAATATTATTGTGTATGTATTTTATTAATTTGTCATTCGTTTATGATTTGGCGGCAAATTGAATATTGTCTGTGTCACGTCAGCATGAATTTAACGCAATAAAATTTTCGTACAATGATTTTTTATAACTTTCGATGGCATTTAAGTCAACAAGAAAGTTATGATAGCCTTCGATTGGCCTTTCACGGTGAAGCCCCATCTCGTGCCACTGTTTACAACTGGTTTAATGAATTTAAACGTGGTCGCACTAATCTCACCAATGATCTGCGTGAGTGACGCGGCCTTCTACGGCGACGACTGAAAATAACATCAGTGTTGTGCGGCGTATGATAGCGACTGATAAAAGAGTGACTTATCAGAGGATTTGCACAAACTTAGGAATCGGTATTGAGTCAAGTGTACAAAATCCTCCATGAACATTTAGCGGTCAGGAAGATTTGACAGAGGCCCAAAAACTTTGTCGTGAAACGGTTAAAAGATTTAACGGAGGTGAATCAAATGCTGTGTTCGACATATTTACGGGTGACGAAAGTTGGATTTATTGCTATGATCCTGAAACTAAGAGACAGTCTGCTGTCTGGGTGTTTCCTTCCGAGGAGTTGCCAACTAATGTGAAAAGAGGTCGAAGCTTGGGAAAAAAGATGGTGGCCTCGTTCTTCGGAAGTACAGGTCATTACGCAACAATTATTTTAGAGAATCGAAAATCAGTTACTGCAGAGTGGTATACTAACAATTGCTTACCACTTGTCTTGGAAAGAGTTCGGTAGAAACGACCTTGCAGTATCAGATCCTCCTTCACCACGACAACGCCTCGTCGCACACCGCCAAGCAAGCAATCGACTACTTGGCGACGTCAGACGTGGAATTACTGGGTCATCCACCCTATAGTCCCGACCTCGCACCTTGCGATTTTTATTTATTTTCGAAAATAAAAGAAAAACTTCGAGGAAAACGTTTTATGGATGCCGAGGAAGCAGTGGCTGCGTTTCAAAATGCCGTCGAAGAGACCCCTAAGGACGAGTGGGCAAAGTGCTTTTCTCAGTGGTTCCATCTGATTCAGCGATGTATTGATGTAAATGGACATTATTTTGAAAAGATATAATAAAACTAATAACTTGCTAGTTTGTTCAGTTTTTGATTTTCAGTGTCACCTTGTAATAAACAAATAAAAAACTGATTTTATTTTATTTTACGTTTAAAAAATTAATGTGTATATGGAAACTGGTGAAAATAATTCCTTATCTTTAAATGAGGACGATCTACGGTTTTTTACGGCACATGTAGTGTGCACGGTAGTATAGGCATGTAATAGTAATGCCCGAGCGAATGAGCAATTGCAGGTGTACTCTCTGTTCCCTCACTCCCATAGTCGATAAGACGGTAATCCGATGTGACCGGAGAGAGATTCGGCACAGGACCAACGGCTTTACGTGCTTTCCGAGGCACGGAAGTGAAACACCGCCAAATTCCTGACTCCGGGCATAATTTTTTGACAGAAAAACTCAATTATTAATTTGGGCTCCACCCGGAAATCGGACCCGGTACCTCATGATGAGCAACCGCATTTACGACCTGTAGACCAACGAGGCAGTCAATCAGGTCATAGAATATGACGTCTACGTGGCTTAGTGGATATAATGCCTGCCTACTAAGCGCGCTCTAGACCCGAATCCCAACTAAAGCGTTGTAGGTTTTAATGTCTCTGACGCATCATCCCATTTTATCCCTGATCTTATCGTATAAGCTTTGTATCGGTTAGGACGACTAAGTGCTTCCATTCGACAGTTTCGGCTTTATAACAAAAAGTAGTTTATAATTAGTCTCAGGTTTAAGCTAGACTCTGTTTCACGAAAGATGCTCCGTGGAAATAGCCATTTCAGTAAGATATGGAATTTGACAACAAATTACAAATTTCGCGAAAACTGTGCCGACGCGGCTAAGTGGCTTCTTTAGTTAGAATGACTCTTCTTAAACCATAGTTTAAGCCGACCGATAAGACGGTTTTAGTTTTAGCACTATAACAATTCCTGAATAATATTTATTACAGGAACAGGATTAAGACAGCTTTTCCTGCGGTATCAATGGCTTGGAGAGCATTGTATGAATTACAACTTTTATTCTTAGGTTTGGGGTGTATTTCGTGACGCTCGCCGCTTCTGGCGCGTGGGCAGCAAATGGTCCTGGGGTCGTGCTGAAGCCCATGTGGGATACACAGCAATGGACAGGCCGCTTAGTCGTGCAGCATCTGATTCCGCACAAGACCATCCCACCACACCATTCAGTAAGTTCCTATCGTCATAAAATTACTGTTGGCACCATTAATTTCTTGACAATTTTATAACCTGTAACGTTATATTGAAATATTTTATGTGATAGAGCCAAGCCATAGCTGTACACAGCTGCTGTAAAAGCGCCACCGAGTCGAAAAGAAGGGCCGCAATTTCGCACAATACCAGTGTAAAACTAAAACCGTCTCCGGTTTTCTTTACATTGGTGGCAATGACTTTAAACAAGGCATTCCATCTTTGTCCTCAGGAAAACACATGTAGGTGCTTATGGGCTATAGCGTCTATCAGATTGACTATGCACCCATTGGACATTCTCACTTGTATGATAAAAACATATAAAAACGAAAAAATATGATGAACACATAGTTAATTAGCATATTTTTTCTTCTTTTGAACTAAATATTGTATGTCCGTGCTGGCGTAATTTCTGCATTCATTTTTTGGTGCATTCTCTTACAAAGTTTTAGTTACATTTCCATTATCTGATTCCTGTGTGTAAACATGAAATGCAAAATATTTTACTAAACTTCAATTAAATATTCTTTTTCCCTAAAATAGTTTATTTCTGAAACTCAAGGTTTGTAAACATTGCTAATTAAAAACCTTGCAATATTGCGCAACATGGGCTTACAAATTATATCCTATGTCAAACGCGCGCGGTTTAATTAAATTCTACAAAGGATTATGTAGGTATTCGTTTAATCTTTTCAACTTGCACCAACCCTGATATTCCTTTCAAATGTTATTTTTTTCGCTCTCTCATTTTTAATATTATTGCTATATTTTATGATATAACTCATTTAAATTATTTGAAAGGGGATTGTTTGTTACCTTTGTTATCTATTTATTAAACTGGGTAGTTCAAGCTATAAGAGTTTGCCTTTAAAATTCGCACTGCGCGAGTAAACCGAGTTCGATCCCCCTTTAGCATCATAATTGATTTGCCGCGTGCTCGGGATATGAGAAAACATTGTAATGAAACTTCAATATCTGAGTAATTGAAGTCCGTTAACAAGCATCGGAACAGCGCTAATACTCTTTTTTAAAACATGAAAATCCCCGACGTGACCTATTTTATGCGTATAATGATTAAAGTCTTCCACTTTTATTAATCATAATACTTCCCTATGTGTTAAAAAAGATTTATTTTTATTTAATATAATTACAAGGTACTTCCACATCGTCCGGTATTTGTCGTAAGAGGCGATAGAGGGAAGTTGACCAAGATGGGCAGGAGCGTTTATCTGATAACAGGGACCAAAAACCTATATAAATTACGGTACAGGTATCGAAGAATTTCGTTAACTTTTACGACTAAGGTTACCCATATCTGGGTAACCAAGAAGAAGAAACACATGTTACCTCTATTCAGGTTACAGTTTTAATACCGGTTACCGAAAAACGACTTTGTATACGAGAAATAAACAGGATACCACAATGCTAGGCAAATCGTCGTGCTGTGCAATTTACGTTTATTAGGCATTTTCCGGAGTATTTGTGTTAAAGTAAAAAAAACAAATGAGCAAAGGTAAGACAATATTTTTTTTATACAATAAGGGTGACAAACGAGCACACAGTCCACCTGATGGTAAGTGGTTGCTGTGGCCCATAGACATCTACATCTATCTTCGTTTGCGAATTAAAATGCAGATGCGTTGTCAGCTGTGAGGACTAAGATAGAATGCATATTTTTCCAGTAAAATGGATCTCCGGTTCTCTACACTCACCATACGAAACACAGCAGCATCAAGCTGCTATTTTACGCTGGTATTCTGTGAGAGCGTGGTTCTTCCCCGATCGAGCCGACCCATTCGTGTTACAACTATACTATTAATATAGCTGCAGTATGGCTCTACCACGTAAATATACATTATTACAATGTAAATTGGTAGAAGGTTCAAAAACAGGCGAATAAACAAGAACAGTGATTAAATCTTACGTATCTGTACTTTATCTAAAGGTATGTTAAATTATGAATGTTGTAAAGCTACGCTACAGCTGTATTGTGGCTGCAGCATGGGTCGGCTCGACCGGGGTAGACCCACGCTCTCACAGAATACCAGCGTAAAATAGCAACTTAATGTTGCTGTGTATCGTATGGTGAGTGTAGAGAATCGGAGATGCTTTTTACTGGAAATGAGGCATTCTATCTTAATCTTAATCCACAACGCATCTGCATTTTGATTATCATACAAATATAAATGTAGATGTCTATAGGCCACAGCATCAAATTACCATCAGGGGAAATGTGTGCTCGTTATTTACCCATATTCTATAAAAAATCTTAAGTTGGATTTTGCTAAATCAAATGGAATTCGTTAAGTCATGTTTTTCTTTAATATTTGCCACATTTTTGATATTGCCACGCTTGGCGAGAGGGTTGGCAACCACAATTTTTGTTGTTGTTTTACTGTTATCAGAAAGATGCTGCTGCCCATCTTCTGCCTCAGTTTTTTTTTTATAGGATAGGGTGACAAATGAGCACACAGTCCACCTGATGGTAAGTGGTTGCTGTGGCCCATAGATATTTATCCTCGTTTGCGAATCAAAATGCAGATGCGTTGTCACCCGTGAAGACTAAGATGGAATACCTCTTTTCCAGTAAATAGGGTCTCCGGTTCTGTACACACACCATACGAAATACAGCAATGTTAAGCTGCTATTTGATGCTGGTATTCTGTGAGAGCGTGGTCCTTCCCCGGTCAACCGACCTTCGTGTTACAACTATACTACTAATATAGCTGCAGCATGGCTCTACCACGTACAAAAAGTTCAGTTTCTCAGTTTCCATATGTCGCCTTTTACGACACCCACGGCAAGATGTGGGGTAGTGGGTATTCTTACCCACCACTACACGTTGTTAAGTTGTTGACGATATGTTTACCTGGGCCAAATAGCCCGACTAGGTAAGTCCAACTTTGACTGAGAGGTCAATCGATGGATTCAACTCGGCTGGGCAGCGTTCGGGAAACTACGGCAAATCTTCTCGTCAGGTATACCTCAAAACTTGATAACGAGACTGTACAACCAGCGCGTGTTGTCAGTGAAGACCTATGGAACTGAGAGCTGGTCCTTCAATGCTGGCCGTATGAGGAAGCTCAAGGTTACTCAGCGAGCTATGGAGAGGGCTATGCTCGGGGTTTCTCTGCGTGATAAACTTAGAAATGAGGATATCCACAGTAAAACCAGAGTGACTGGCAAAGCCCAACGGATTAGTAAGCTGAAGTGGCAATGCGCCGTCCATATAGCTCGAAGAACCGACAACCGATGGGGAGAAAAGGTTCTCGAGTGGCGGCCTCGTACTGGTGGACAAAGTGAAGGGCGTCCCACCACTAGATGGAGTGACGACCTGGTAAGACATGCGAAAGTCGATGGATGCAGGTGGCTCAGGACCGTGCTTTGTGTCATTCCTTGGGGGAGGCCTATGTTCAGCAGTGGACTTGTGAAGGGCTGTAATGATGAATGATGATTATGATAAAGCTACTTTAACAAGTTAAAAACACCAAAAACAAGGATAAGAATTTTCAAAACTTTCTTGTACCTATTCATCATTCATCATCATTACAGCCTTTCATAAATCCACTGCTGAACATAGGCCTCCTCCAGGGAATGCCACAAAGCACGGTCCTGAGCCACCTGCATCCATCGACTTCCTGCATGTCTTACCAGGTCGTCACTCCATCTCGTGGGGGGTCGCCCTACAATTCGCCTACCGGTACGAGGCTGCCACTCAAGAACCTTTCTTCCCCATCGGTTGTCGGTTCTTCGAGCTATATGGCCGGCCCACTGCCACTTCAGCTTACTAATCCGTTGGGCTATGTTGGTTACTCTGGTTCTACTGCGGATATACTCATTTCTAAGTTTATCACGCAAAGAAACCCCGAGCATAGCCCTCTCCATAGCTCGCTGAGCGACCTTGAGCTTCCTCATATGGCCAGCAGTGAAGGACCACGTCTCAGATCCGTAAGTCATCACTGGCAACACGCACTGGTTGTACAATTTCGTTTTAAGGTTTTGAGGTATGTCTGACGAGAAGATGTGTCGTAGTTTCCGGAACGCTGCCCAGCCGAGTTGAATCCGTCGATTGACCTCTCGGTCGAAGTTGAACTTACCTAGTCCGACTATTTGTCCCAGGTAAACATACTCATCAACAACTTCGAGCTTAGTGCTCCCAACAACTACCGGCATAGGTGTGACATGGACATTAAACATGATCTTTGTTTTGTCCATGTTCATCCTAAGACCTATTCGTTGGGAGACACTATTGAGGTCATTGAGCATGGTGCTTAGGTCCTCCAGCGATTCTGCCATAAGGATTTTATCGTCGGCAAATCGAAGGTGAGTGGTGTATTCGTCATTGATGTTAATACCGTATCCTTTCCAGTCCAAAAACTTGAAAACGTCTTCCAATGCAGCGGTGAAGAGTTTCGGGGATATAACATCACCCTGTCTTACCTCTCTGCAATTGGATAGGTTTCGTACTCTGGTTCTATACTCGGATAGCCATCGTAGCTCTACTGTACAAACACTTCAGCACTTCGATATACCGACAGTCAACTTGGTACCGCTAAAGGGACTGCAGTACCGTCCAAAATTCGACGGAATCAAAGGCTTTCTCATAGTCCACATACGCCAGACATAGTGGCAAATTGTACTCCTTGGACTTCTGTACAATTTGCCGAAGGGTATGTATGTGGTCTATGGTGCTAAAGCCCTTTCGGAAACCGGCTTGTTCGGGAGGCTGGAAGTCGTCAAGTCTGCGCGCGAGACGATTCGTAATGACTCTCGAAAACAGCACGTAGACGCGGCTCAGAAGGGAAATTGGTCTGTAGTTCTTCAAGAGAACGTTGTCACCTTTCTTGAAGAACAAGACCACCGCACTTCTGCTCCACGCCTCCGGTGTAACACCACCATGGAGGACGGAATTAAAGAGCCTCTGAAGGACTTCAAGTACCGGTCTTCCACCCGCTTTCAGAAGCTCCGCTGTAATTTCATCCTCGCCTGGGGCCTTGCCGTTTTTAAGGTGCTGGAGAGCCATTCTAATCTCGCTCAGACTGACGTCCGGGATATCTTCGGAATAGTTCGGAATAATGTCGTTGTATCTATTAAATATTCCTAAATTCAAACCTAAAAATTTTTTTAGTACTCGGATTATTTGAAAACTGTTTAAAATAACTAAAATAAAAATTTAAATAAAAAAAACCTGACAAAAGCTGTAATAGAAAATAATTTTTGTTTGGTTAAGAATTCTAATTTTAAATTAATTTTATTTTAAAAACATGGAATTTTTTTTCAAAATCAGTCATATGTTTATTGAGTATAAAATATGAGTACCGTCGTGGCAGCAACGCGGCACAAGCCGCACGCAACATCGTTGATGTTGCGTGCGGCTTGTGCCGTGGTTACGTTTACAGAGCAAATACTACAAACAAACGCACATCTTACAGTGGTAGAGCCACGCGGCAGCTTTTGCTGTCGCACGGATGGGCCGGCTCGAACCGGGGTAGTACCACGACCTCACAGAAAACCAGCGTGAAGTAGAGGTTTACCTCTGCGTTTCGCTTGATGAGTGCAGGTGGCCGGAGGCCCTTTTTACTGGCATTCCATCTTAGTCCTCACGGGTGACAACGCATCTACATTTTGATTTGTAGCAGAGGATAGATGTAGATGTCTATGGGCCGCAGCAACCACTTACCATCAGGTGGACTGTGTGCTCGTATGTCACCCTTGTCCTATAAAAAAAAAACCACCTATTATTGATTTGCCCGTTTCCGTTCTGGAAATGTCGATCTGTAAAATAAACCCCGTGATAGTCCGAAATCTTTAGTCGAAATTGACAAATTAAAGGCGATTGTGGAAGCTGATGATACTCAATCTACGGTTATATTAGCAGCAGCTTTTGACGTTAGCATCAAAACAATATTGGTCCATTGGTGGCAAATTGGCAAGGTAAAAAACTTGGCCAATGGGTACCCCACGAACTCAATTATCGCTAGCGCAAAGTACGTGTTGAGACATGGGCCCGGCAGCAGGGTGCAAGGGGATGCACTTGTCAGAAAAGAACATACATAGAAAAAATTAATTTTTTTTATTATTAAGTTACTGTTTGAATAAGAACTGGAGTTGCTGTCCGAATTTGTTCATCACCTTGTCAATAAATTTAGTATCCTCCTCTACTCGTTCCCTGTGAACACTAAGCATGTCGCGCGGCAGCGGGGATTCCCCGAGTCATAATGCCAATTGCCAACCATCGACTACAGAGATAAAGTATATTTTCGATGAACGTAATATATTCAATCAAATACCAGCGCAATTTAAATTTGACATTTGTCTACATAATATACATCATGTATAATGCTATGTTTTATATTAGTTAATAGTACAACGTGTAGATGCAGATTCACCTTCCTGAAAGTAATCCTGGCGGCGCCTATGTGTCGAGACGTGCCTTGTATTGCCCAACAGACCCACAAACGAAGGAATGAACCGCATTGTTATCTGCGACAAAAAATGGATTCTGTTTAACAACTGCAGGCGCTCAGCGAGTTGGTTGGATCCTGGTTCAGGTTGTAAACTTACCCCTAGAAAAGTGATGGTCACTGTTTAGTCTAGCGCCTGTGTGATTCATCACACTTCTTACCAAACCGGATGAGCATTACTGCAGATGTATACTGTTAAGAACTGAACACTATGATGGAGAAGCTCGCACGTCTTCAACCATCTTTGGTCAATCGCTCGTCCGCGCTGCTCCTGCACGATAATGCGCGACCTCATACTGAACAACAGACGGTCTCTAAGTTACAAGAGTCGGTAGCTCTCCATCATCCGCCATACTCATCAGATCTTGCGCCTACAGATTTCTACAATTTTTTCCCACAATTTGGATAACTTTTGGCGGGAAAAAATTCAATGGCGTTAAAGAATTTATTACCTCCTGTCCAGCTGATTTCTTCAAGAAATAATCGACTACGAATTGAAAAAATCACAAAAAGTGATTACTTTGATTAATAGAAATAAAAAACATAGAAAAAAATTACGTTGACTTATTTCATAAAAAACGGCAATTTCATAGGTAAAGACCTAATATTAATGATTTTCCTATATAGAAGCTGCGGGTAAAAAGCTGGTGTCTACTATAATATATTTTTGCTAACTTTGTATATATAAATAATTGTGTTTGACAATAACCATTAGTGTAAAATTTTGTTTATTTTAAATTGTGTTGTGTTTAATATTTAACCGAGTTCCAATAAAGGGAAGGTTCTATATATGACGCGTATGTTTTTTTATGTATGATTTCTCGGAATTGACTGAACGGATTTTAATGATTCTTCTTTTATTAAATAAGTTATACTTCAGGGGTGGTTCGTAAATATTTTCAGAATACATTTCACCCCTAATGGTGGAAAAATAGGGTATGAACTGTAGGCGACATTCTAATTGTTACATTGAAGTTGTGATGTTCCTCAATGCACCCAAAAGGTTTAATAATTATACTTTAAAAAAGTAAAACCGACTTCAAAACAAATAAAATAATTTTCACATAATAGCTTCTGAAGTCTGTGCAAATACATAGTGTCATAACAATGATTTGTCATTTCATCACACTAGTCATTTGCGCAAGGCAGGATTATGGTGGCCAAGTGAATGCGTAAGCACAGATGCACTCTCTATTCGATCACGTTCATAGTCCGACGGGACGGTAATCCGACACGATCGGAGTGGGATCAGGCCCAGGACCAACGGCTTTACGTACTCTCCGAGCAGGGGAGGAAACACCGCCAGCTTCCTGACTCCGGGCTGCTAGTGTGAATTTCTTGACAGAAACCCCCAAGAACTGATTTTGGGACCTCATGGTCAGCAATCCCGTTTACGGTCATCAAGGCAATTAAGACATTGTAAAGAAGGCAATTAAGACATTGTAAAGAATTATAGCTTCTTTTTGAAGTTTAATTATTTACATAGTAGCTGTTTCTCGCGATTTCGTCCGCGTGTTTTTGGGGTTATAATTTTTTTGCGCGGAACCCTAATTCTTTTTCTGAAATAAAAGTAGTCTAAGTTACTCCTTATGACATCAGCTATCTGCCAGTGAAAGTCCCGTCAAAATCGGTCCAGCCGTTTCAGAGACTAGCCGGAACAAACAGACAGACAGACAAATAGACAGACAGTCAGACAGACAAACAGACACACAAAATTTTAAAAAATTGTGTTTTTGTTATAAGTATCGTATATATAGGTACTTTCATATGCATTTAGTAAAAAGCCGTAATTTTGACATTACAAACAGACACTTCAATTTTATTTATTTGTATAGATATAGTCAGTTGTGTGATATAGTCATGAAGCACTGGTTACGTTTCTACACTTCCAGGTCGCCGCTGGACAGAAGTAGAGCTAGACGAGGAGGAGGAGGTGGGTGTGGTGCGCAGTGACTCTAACTCTTCGTCAGGGCTGTCGGAGTGCGCGGACGAGTTCCGCGCCCGCGCTAGCACGGACTCGCGACTGCCGCCGAGACCTTCCCGTCCACGGCACCCCGTGCCCGCGCGGACCACCTTACCACCGGTTCGGCGCATGAGTGTCTCCATGAAGGGTAACAACACCGTCACTTACTAATTCACTATTTAACTGACTGAATTTAGTCGGGCTGAACTTACTTAATTGTTGAAGTCTCACCATTGAATTAAGTCACAAACAGTCTAAACCTACTCTGGTCCTTTGTAATATATTTCACTCTGATCTTATTGTGTATTGTGTACATGTATGTTTGTATTTGGGAAGCAGTGAATTGAGTTTTCCCGTGTTGCTTATACCATTTTATCCATTTAGAAATTACCACGCACGCTCGCCTCGGGAGCACAAGGACAGGTTATATTAGGCCCGCACTGATTAAAACCTCTTAGTGTTCTATTTTCAGTTATTATATAACATACAACTTCCAATGGTATTAGATAGTCGATGTTGTGGTTAAAAAGAATATTACAGGCTTAGAGGCACATAATATGTGTCTCAACCATTTTAGCTTAATATGACCTAAATGAAGATGAACCTTCTTACTGAAAATATCATTTTTAGCAAAATTCATTCACATTTATGCTTATTCGTGTACTATCGTATAATATAATATGTTAAAATTATTAATAAAAATGTATACATAGATATACGTTTAAATAAATAAGTGAATTGTACGCTTTGGGGAAAAGACTAGCATTCATGTATGATATGCCAAGCCGTGTAGCAGTGTCATTATTTTTCAAAACATCTTAGTGTCAGTTCAAACCGAGACTCGACGCAGCGCAACGCAGCGCGCACTTTTTAAGACAGTGGTACAAAATATAACTTTATTTGCTACACAAAAAGATACATATTATATTGAGATAATTGGAAAATGCCTCGCGGCATCGCGCTACGCCTCGCTACGCCTAGAGATGCCTCGCGGCGTAGCGCGACGCAGCGGTGCTTCGTCAGTAGGCGCAGCATACAAAAGCGGTGCGCTGCCAGCAACTTCACGATGCGTCTTGTAGCGGCGCGCTGCGCGATATACAACCACTGGCCTCTTGAAGCATCGTCGCGTCGCGTCACATCTCGGTGTGAACTGGCCCTCAGGGTCTACAAAGGAATTCATCCATCATTACTAGGTTGCTTTTACTTTGCAAGCTGCAAAATTAATAAACTGGAGGGTTAATACCATCCGATTTATTAATCAATATGCACTATTAAGCCTGACCTACTTAGCTCAAAAATGAAACTAAAAAGTAACGATATATAGCTGATGACCTTTTTACCGCGAGGAAAAAGTATGGTGTAATAGGCGAATAAATTAGATAAATTGGCATACATATTAACTTTTTTTTTTTAAAATTAATTTTAAAATTAATTTTTAATAAGAAGATTTAAAATTTTATTTTAAATCTTCTTATTAAAAAAAAAAATCAAATAATAATACAACCACAGAATAAATAATAGAACAACGAAGTTTAAATTATGTGCACCACGAGTATAGAGTGGTACTCTATACTCGTGGTAAGTATCAATGAATTTGTAAAGTCCTTGACCTTGAAACGGTGGATAGATAAAAAGTTTACTTCAAATTATTAATATGTGTTTATTGATAGATAATTTGATAAAAGACATTGAAAAACTTCGTTCACTTACTACACCTTATTTTTACTTCACAGTAGCAAAGAATAAATAAAAAGTACTTCGTATAGTGAAAGGTGGTAAAAGTCACCGCATTGTAATGTATGTAAGTAATATGAATGATTATAATTCAAGATTTTTTGTAGGTACTAAAGATACAAATATTATTGGCTGTAATTAATCTATATGATTATTAAAAAAACAACCGTCTCATTTTTTTCTAATAAAAATGTTCAAGTTTTTTTTAAATATTTTATCTAAAAGACAATATAATATATGAACGCCGAACCGTAAACGTTCAGGAAATAAGCGCCGTAAATTTCATCAAGCGCGAGCAATCTTATTTCGAAACCAGCAGGATGTTATCTGAAGTATCGTAAGTTTGTTTTGTTTGCGAAAATTGCATGTGTGAAAAACTAAATATTTAGAACACAATGAAGTCTGCCAACACGCGTAGGAGTAGCATGGCGGACTAACAGCCCCAACGCTCTCATAAATGTGAAATATGAAATGTTAGCTGACCTGTGGCCAGTGGTGACTTATTTAGGCTGTAATGTACACCACAAAACAGGAGGTAGAATTTCGATAAATGTTTCTGATGACATTATAAAACGATTGAATAAAGTACTTATATTATTTATGTAATATATAAAAATTAATGTTTGTTTATTCGTATTTTATACGCTGCCATAACTTTCATCTGATTGCGGTAAAACTTTGTTAACTTATTGCTTGCACTTGAATATAGGCATAGTACAATTAACCTACAGTAGGTGGTGCGCGTATGTACCGACAAATTTATTTGAAAGTTATATATCATTCAACTTCAATTAATGTATTATCAGTCTTATTTAAAAAAATATAACTCTTCCAAATTTGAAACGATTCTACAATTATTATTTCTTTTGCGACTGCAACGTGCCGGTTAGCAGCTAATAGATTATAAAAAAACTAGCTCTATAATATCTCTACACCAAAGGGCGAGTTCTACGAATCTTTGTTGTGCTACGTTACTGTAGGAAATAAAGCTTTTCTTATTTTCTTTATATAGTTTACCGGACTTACCTACTGAAAATAATTTATTATTGCTTACTATATGTAGGTATTAATTATCGCTATAGCTATCTCTTTCTATTGTCATTTAGTGAAAAGGGAAAAAGCTATTTTAAACATCAATTTTTATAAGTAAGTTTACGTTGTAGTTTAAGAAAGAACCAACGAAATGTATATAAATGTATTTAGCGCCATTATTTAATGATGGCAATAAAGTTATCGACAACAGTAAATATAATTTTCTGAAATAATATTAATTTAATGATAAAAGTAACTTACTTTGTATATTATTGGAACGAAGTTCCTTATCTGACGGTCGAATTTGGCGGATGGGGGTTAGGCGAGAAAAAGTGTAAGATTTTTCCGTTACGACCCTTCTGACGTAGTTTAGACGACCTTCGCGGCTATAAGGAAGCGAAATGAAATAATATCCATTTCCCTCGCACTTTTCTTATCTGAAAGAAATATTATTTTAAATGGCGCTTCATTTTAATAGACGCTAGTATGTAACTCATTTATTTCTTTGTATTTGTTAATCAATAATATAATACGTTTATCAATAAAAATATACTACGAAAGGAACTTCGTTCTAACCGAGTGTTCCACGATACTCACGCATGTTTTTTACTGTTATACTTTGTAAAGATATTTTTAGATTTATTGTATATCATTGTTTAGAGAAAATAGGATGACAGTTATTATTGAATTAAAGTTAATAATAATATAATATGTTAGACGGTTCTATTCTGATGGGATGATAAATGTAATATTTTAAAAACGTGCTAAGAACATAAAATGTTAAATAGACCGTTGAATTGTTTTATAAATATATAAAAACTAGTAGTTGGTTGGATGTGCATTTTACGTGGTAGAGCCATGCTGCAGCTATATTACTGGTATAGTTGTAGCACGAATGGATCGGCTCGACCGGGGAAGGACCACGCTCTCACAGAATACCAGCGTAAAGTAGCAGCTTAATGCTGCTGTGTTTCGTATGGTGAGTGTAAAGAACCGGAGACCCTTTTTACTGGAAAAGAGGCATTTTATCTTAGTTCTCACGGGTGACAACGCATCTGCATTTTGATTCGTAATCGAGGATAGATGCAAATGTCCATGGGCCACAGCAACCACTTACCATCAGGTGGACTGTGTGCTCGTTTGTCACCCTTATCCTATAAAAAAATGTGACGGTTTAATTATTTTTATAAGATCGATTGGAACAAATGAAGAAAGCTTAAAAATTTATTACAATATATTTTAATACAAACAAAGATAGGATAGTAATATTAAATTAAATTAACAGGTAAATATACGTTGAATTGTTTTTTAAAGAATTAAACCTTCACATCCAACCAACTACTTTTGAAAATGCTTGTGTTGTAATGATCGTAGAGGTATTATACCTACTAATAGTACCTAATCTAAAAATTTAAAAATATATATATATATTATCCGGTAAATTATAAACATAATAATGAAATAAAAAATTACATTGAATTCCGTTGGTACTATTGGCAATTAATTTTAAACATCTCGTGTAGAACAGCTTGGTGAATTTTGCGCAATTAATATTATTTATTGTCTTATTATTGAGAACATAGCCAACATATTCTTATTCACAGGGTATAAAATTAAAATTTAGGGAGCAAATCGTTATCTAATAAACACACGTCTCAATTATCGTACGTGTGTAATCGAAACCAGAACTAACGATAAACTTTTTAACATTTTATAAACAAACATTAGACTGAATAAAATTATGCAAACTGGTTGTGGGAAAACATTCATATGCACAAACGTTATAAGTTATACTTTCGCGAGTAAAAGCTAACTTTTTGCATGTAAATAATTTATTGAATTAAGTAACATTAAAAGGCTTGCCGTGTAGTGGCGGTCAAGAATATCCACTACCCCATATCCTCCCGTGGGTGTCGTAAAAGGCGACAAAGGGAAACAGGCAGGAGATGGGCAGCAGCATCTTCCTGATAATAGCCAAATTACAATAAAAAAACTGCGGTTGCCAACCCGCTCGCCAAGCGTGGCAACTATGGCAAATACCCCCCTATGAATGACAGTAACAAAGAAACGGCCCCCAGTCCCCGGCGGCCCCGCTATTCCTGGCTACGGTGGCGACCATGGTAACGGCGGGGCAGGGGGTGCTAAGAATCTCCGGTGGAGGTTCGGTTGCCACCTTAGACGACTCGACCTGGCAACGTACAACGCACGCACCCTGAGGACTGACGAGAAGATTGTGGAGCTGGAAGAAGAGATAGACAAGTTGCGCTGGCATATTATAGGATTATCCGAAGTCCGAAGAGAGGGGGAGGACACGGTAATCCTCGAATCCGGCAACTTGCTCTATCATCGGGAGGGCGACCATCTGTCCCAAGGAGGTGTCGGATTTATCGTCCACAAGTCTCTCG